ATAAAGTGTTTATTTTTATTTGTATTTTGCACAGAGGTTTGTCTGTGCCATCAACACATCGTAAGTCACTAAACTTTTATTTGCAGACAAAATCCTCGGATCTCCAAAAGGTCATGCAGATCTGGTAACTGTATGATGACTATGGTCTATGTTTAGATCCAAAGAATGTGACATTCCGATTTCTTACTAAGTACCGTTTATTTTGTTTTATTATGTTACCTTAGTATAATGGGAGAAATAAAGTTTTTTAGAATTTCTATCAAAATCTTGAGCATACTCGTATGATGGTATTTTCTTAATTGGTGCAAAAGTACACGATGGACTATACGCATTCTGTCCACTGCAGCGAATTTAACCCCGGATTTTAGCGTTTTAAGTCCGTAAACTTACTGCTAACCCACAGGGAACTGGCATATAATGTCAATTTGTTATTATAATCGTGGTGAATAGCAGATTAAATTTGTTTCAAAATACAGAAGTGATTTTCATTAGGTTTTTATTGTATCAGTAATAATTGCCGGCTAGAACAACACCATGTATTTAACGTTCAGAGTTGAATAAGATACGACACAAATTAAATTGAAACAAAACAAAAAAACATCTTGCACTTTGGAACCATTTATACGACAATTCTTCTCTCTCTCTATGCATTCAAATATATACAATATTTCTCAACTAGGTTGACAGATATAACTTTTCTCTCATCACAAAAGTAATCAAGATTAATTAAATTTTTATTCAACATTATCCACAAGTGCACTTTCCAGTGATTTTAAAAAACTGGATATTTTTATATTCCAACGCTCAGCAGCTCAATATTCAGGAGCACGCCTAATTTGTGAAATCAAGTTTCAGTAATTTTCTCCACGAAGAATGGACAATAAAATGTTTATAATTAGTCTACTTAAGCTTTCTTTAAATCACGGAAGCTCCTCCAAGCTACTCTCCGAGATTCACCGACAAACAAACAAACTCCTGCAAAGGTTTAGGTGGAATGGCGCCTCAGTTGCTTTCTTTACAATACTGTCGAAGCATGTGACTGAAACATCTTGAACACTGGTCGTTACTAAAGCTTAGTTAAGCACACGTTGAACTTTCTTGTGACCCTTGTCATATGAATAATCATGGCGGAGAGTGATAGTGATGAAATAATTGCCATGGTAAGAAATATTTCACTCTTATTTACTTATGTCATAAAATTATGTATAGTAAAATGTGTATCAGTGAAAAACAAAACAAAAACGGAGCGTTTAAAAGATTTAAATCATAAATGGAAAATTGGAATATTACGTTATGACCTATTTGAGTATTTCTCTTGTTTATATTTCTACAAATTACAGTTTAAAAAGCACAGTGTTATTGTGAGTCATTTTTAGTTAAGGACAGAGTAATCGTTAATAGTAATATCCTATCCTTATACTTATTATCCCTAAAAGTTTGCAACCAAATATCACATACTTGTAAGGAGGTGTGTGAAACAGAAATACAATCATTCATTAATTCAATTAATTGTGTTCACAATGGATATAAATATTGCGACAAGGAATAGTTACCCAATGTACATTTAAATTGCAGTGTACTGTGTAAATATCTTAAACTGACAACAGTTATGTATTAAAAAGTTTTGTATTATTGTATTGATAAACTAACAAATAAGAAAAAGGTAAAAGTCTAGGATTTGTGAATAGCTTAATATTTATTCTTAATAAATAATCGGACAGGATAATAAAAAATAAAGAATTTGGCACTACAAAAATTGTTAGCTGTAAATATAATAGTTAATCTTTGTATTTGAATTTTGATAGGCTGATGTACACATAGCAGGAATGACTTTAAAAAATCTGTTTGGATCCTTGTAAGCCTAGATGGCAACCTTTACTATATAAATTTGTCTAAGCAGAATCATGAGTTTTATGTAGCAAGATTTATGCAGCAAACAATTTGAAATTATACATCATACAAATTGCAGATTATGCTGAGAAACATAAAAATTATTAACTGATTATGTGGTAACATTTAACATTTGCAACCCTTACCGTACATTTAAGACTATGTTAGACATAATCAATGCAATTCCAACATCAACAGCAATTTAACTCTTGTTTTTTGTGAAATAAGAACACCAAATGCACATTAGACTTTTTATCAGTATTTTGACAGGCCATTAACTGAATGTGCAAGAGATTGGTCCAGTTGACTGACTTCTGTATTAGAGAGGAAATGTTGACTTAAGTCCAAATTTACTACATGTGTCTATGCAAAATGTTGCAAGCTTTTGGTAAAATATACAAGTCTGATGTACACAAAAAATTGTATATGTTACAAGAGTATTTGTACTCAAGTTATGTCTGTGAATACTCTTGTATACTGTCAAGAATACTCTTGAGTGTTTACAGAGGATATTTAAAAAAGAAGGAAATTGTAGAGGGAATTCTGAAAATCTATTGCAATTCGCTGAACAAAACCTTTTTTATGTCTTCAAGTGTATATTTAATAAGTTGTATGCCAAATTCATGTTAATGATTATAGCATAGTTTCTCAGCTGGATTTGTCAGATGACCCCTGTGTCCGGGCTTTGGTCATCGTAATCCCCCCATTATCTGTACAAGGATGAAATAACACAGCAATTTTATTTATTTAAATAAAATGTTGACTCAGTGCAGACAGCCTGAAACCTGCCCAAGAAATCGCGATTCACTGTTTGAGAAACACTGGATTATTGTGATAAAAACAATTATGCATTACAAAGTTTTTAAGTGATCCGTGGAAGAAATTGAACTCATCTGAAAATGAACAAACTGTATAAATCATGGAAGTAAAATGCAATTTGAAGAACAATAAAAGCAAAAATAGATTGCAAAAGCAATTGTAGTGAGGGAGTGGAGCTGGTCTGTGTTTAATAAAATAAAGAGTATTTGAACCACATACGTGTGAATACAACATGAAAAATTTTTCTTTTTAAAATGTGTTGTATAACATGAACAAAATTAATCATTATGAATAACAAGAATAGTTTTGAATACACATAAAAAACCTAATTGGATGAAAATGGTAATTTCACTGAAAAATTAATACATCTATGATTTTTAATTTATTATTTTGATTTTCGAAATAATACTAAAGCAAAAAAAGAATTTTAAAAATTGAGAAAGATAAAATTTGTGAAAGTACAAAACAGGGAAATGAAGCAAAATTTTTTTTCTAAATATAATTATAACTATTGAAATTTTATTACAAAATTTGGAATCTTTGCATTTATCCATTTTTATTTTCATATCAATCATGTTTCTGGAAATAAAGATACAAGGTTTGAAATCACTGGATTATTACTTAAATAAGCTACTCAATGATTTTATGGACTTTCAAATTGATTTTATATTAAAGTTACTAGTAGCGTATAGTAACAATGAAAGTTTTGAAAGTTCACTATTATTTTTATGAACATTATTATTAATCAAATATCATGTACTGATGTTTGATTGTGTTTGGATTTTTTTTTTCCAACAGTGAAAGAAGTATTCAACTAACTTTATGTAGGCCTTTAGCTGAAAGTAGTTCTTTTTTTTAATTCTATTGTTTTATTATATATTTTTTGAATATGTTTAGGGTGATTAACTTTATATAAATACTTGTTGTTTGAAAATGTAACAAAGTAGTAATATGTCTATACTCATTAACAAAAATTCAGTAGTTTTAGTACAGTAATCTTGTCAATTGTTAGGGAGAAACATGCAGAATGTTATTAATTTATAACACAAGGGGACATAGGGGAAATTCAACAGATTCCATGTTATCAAAAAATTACTGTTATTATAACTATGTATTTCAGTTACTTACTTAGGAACGATGTAATTCTTTTATTTTGCTTTACATACTGAAGATGGAATCTGTTGAATTCTGAAATGTTTATCTGTGTCCCCTTGTATTATAAATAAACAACGTACAGTACCAAGCAAAAAAGTCACATGACTAGAGATTGTTTAAGACTAAAGTATTTTGTTGATCATTGGTTCTTTGTTTAAATATGGTGTTCTTATTTTTTAATAAATATACAATAGTTTTATTGTGTTCCATTATTTGTAAACATGAGGTTGTTTTATTATATTAACAAATAATACAAGATTGTCATCAAATCAGACAAGTTTACTGTTCAGTGAGTATGGTAGTGATTGCAAAATACTGTGATGACTCACATCTTTATTGAATGTAATGTTTGTGTTTATCCTATTTAAACAATGTACATGAATAAATATTCTAACTGACTACTTAATTAATTATAACTGTAATCATGACATTGTAATGGTTTAAGCAAAACACAGCTACAACCAGAGTCAGTCAAAAACAATTTATTAAATATAACAACAGAAATAATAAAAAAAAACAACCTCAAACAACAATAAATGAAACTTTTATCATTTACAAAATTAGTAAACCTGTGCCTGGCCTAAACTAGGTACAAACATTAATAAATAATACAACATAAATCTCAGTGTGATTAATTTCAATTAATATAGAAGGAATTAGGAAAAATAATCCACAAGAATAAAAAAAGAAACTAATTCACTAGAGAATAACAAAATATTTCAAAATTACATTACTTTTCACTATCATGAATAATAATTAGCAATAATTCTTTCTAACTATATTTTGCAAAGTAACCCCTTTTCAAGATCGAGGAAAGCTTTTTATTTAGTGGTTAGATCACAAGGTTACATCTCATGTGACTTTATTACCATAATTTTGCATAATCTTTCACAACATTAATATTTATATATCACTGCTAGGAAAATCTTGTGCCAGTTTCACAATACATGCATGCTCAAAATCAATGTGCACTTGACAGAAGGTGACTTAACATTTTAATGTAAGTAAAAATTTATAGTTAACTAAATGATGGAAGAAATAATAAAGGAACAGTAAACAAAAACCATAACAAAATAAAAGTAGATTTCACTATCTCCCAACATGTTTGAACAAAAACACTGTTACTCCTTACCATAAGAGTAAAACATGATTTCATTATTTAATATCCATTTGTTTGATTTGTAGAAGATCTGTTTGTGATTACTGCATATTTGAAAAGCAAACAATGGCAGTAACATGATGGTATTCTGTTTATATTACTGATTTATTGGTTAAGTAGGAAATGTCCATAAAATCTGGACAAAAAATGTTTGTCACAAATGCACAACTGGCAGCCTTCAGATGTCTGTTGTATGAAATTAATAGTAATTTGAAAATTAGTTAAAAAACACAATCAATGTAAAATAAAATAGGAAAATTAATACAGTGCTGGCATTATTTAGTGGTTGGAAAAGTTAAGATGGTAGCACATATGTGTCCCTTTTTTTAAGTTTTTTGCTTGTACAGGTTGTAAGGGTATGGGGTACTGATCAATTAATCAAATGTAATTGATTAATTAACCTACTGATTAATCAATTAGCAAGTACCACTAATCACCCATCATTCTCTTTAATCAGTTACATTCAATTAACCAATTAGTTGCAACCTCCCCCTTTCCATAGAAGCAAAAAAAAATGGGAATCTCTGCATTATCTAACATGTTAGTAATCTTCTAAGTCTGGGTTCTTTTAACCCTACTGAGATGGGTCTTCCTATGTTTACCGGTCAAAGGCCATGTTATTGCGTTTGTAGACTTGCATGCAAAAGTTTATTGAACTATTATTTTATGAATGTATGTCAATAAGCATGGTATCAAATTGTAGATTATAATTCAAATTTTAGTATTATACATTAGTTGATTTCTTAATTCAAATGTAAAAAAAAACAAACCTAGATATCGACTTGTATGTGTCACGTGGTATGTTGAATGCAGCATTGGTTCAAATCAGATGTTTGTCATGTCCAAGTACAAAGTCTATAGTTTCTTAGGAATTAGATACTCAAATTACCTATATTGACAAGCTAGAATATAAGATAAGAACCTTCTGTCTTTTCTATTTTCTCAGATATCAATATATATTTATTGATTCAACCAAGGTGGCCCCCGCTACCTCATCCATTTTTGAAAATACTTGTTTACGTACACCTGCTTCACCCAGTGACGTGTATATTCAATCGAAAGCCCAGAATGTTCCCCTAGGGGTTTTTTCAGTCTCTGCAAAATATTTGCATGGAAAACTAGGTTCTAAGTGATAAC